CCCCCCCCCCCCCCCCCCCCCCCCTCGGACGTTGTCGCGACGAACGCCATCGCCACGCGTGTGCCGGCGTGCACGCGGATCAAAACGATTCGGTTGTACAATAGCATTAGCAATAATTTTGGTTAGCGCGTCCACAATCCGGTCCGCGCGAGAAGTGAACCGCGTTTCAGTCGGAACTTCCGACTGAAACGCGTCCAATCGCGCGCGTGTACACACGTCGCAGCACGTAACCGAACGGTTGCAAACAAAACGGGAGAAATAACAGTACCCCTGAACATCGCGAAACGGTTTACAAACACTCGTGGGCCGGAGTATATGTTGAACAATAATATTATATCGTTACGGTCGCCGTACCTACCGCGGACGATAATTCAGCCCGTTGCGCTTATTCGCTAATTCGTTACGCTAAGACAATGCCGCCCACGCGCGGTGGCACACCCAGTGTCGGCCCTAAGGTAAAATGGACACGTAATGAAAAACATTATTAATTAACATCTAAAAATATATCTATACACGTTTGTATTACACGCACTTCTGTAGTCAATTAATAAATTCTATATACAATGTAATACAGCTAGCCGTCCCGCCCGGCCTTTGACAATTTGTATTTATTTTTTTTTTTCTTACCCATATTGCTTTGCGGTTTTGACCGTGTTAGTAACGGATAAAAACAAATAGGCGGGAAATGGGTGGTCCCACTTCTTCACCTTCGGCGGACTAAAAGTATTCTGTTATGACACATAATTTTTAAATTTTAAATTACCATTTACCTTAAGTATGCAACACGTGACAAAGCCACGTACAATTGTCCATGGAAAAAACATTGGACGATTGTGTCTAAACCTGTCACATTTAATGTTTGACCTTGTGCCTTATTGATGGTCATTGAAATACACGGTTTCACGGAAAATTGGAGCCGTTTAAACTGGAATGGTAGATTGGTTGGTATCATTGGTATTCTAGGAACCAAGACCGTTTCCGTAGCTCCACAGCCATTAAAAATCATACACTTAAGCAAACAGGTTTTTAACGATTTTATTTGCAATTTCGTGCCGTTGTATAATTTTGGTGGACATAAGTTCCGGAGTAATATAATAGGAGAACCTACCTTTAGAATTAATTTATGGGGTGGAGTCCCCGAAGAGGTTAAATAATTTAAAAATGCAGTTGGATAATGTACCGCCTCCTCTCTATCAATTACAGTATCAACTTAGTAGTAAATTTTTGTTAGTGCAATGAATCTCAACAGTATCGTGTGATTTATTTTATTGACTTGCCTTTTTCCTGAAACCGACTCTTAGTAGAAATATTAGATATTTCTGGGTAAACATAAAGTCTACAGGTCAGCAGAAGTTTCATTGTTACGTATTAAACGTACTTTTTTAGAATTTGCCGTGTTACGTCCTATATTAGATCTTTGTTTAGGCATGACTAAAACGCAAACTAATTTTGATACCATACGTTTTGATCAAAATTTTAAATTGTTTTTCATTTCATCCACGTTACTAAGGTAATCCAAATAAATAAATAATAATATCAATAATAATAATAATACCTAAAACCCAAATTTCGGGAAATGGTTTTCAATAGGATATGGATGTCAGTAGCTATAAACCTTTTCCGAGATTCGGTCGATCCATTAGTGAAAACCGCATCGAAATCCATTCAACCATTTCAGAGTTTATCCCGAACAAAAAATAGTGACTTCATTTTATACTATGTATTGATGTCATATTATGGTAAAATAATTACGTATGCATTATATATTTTCTTGAATATTTATTTAAAATTGTATCTATTTTCCCGTGTTTCCTATTTATTAGAGAAACCCCTGGGAAAATCATAAAAATTACCTCCCTAAATTACCTCCCCAGTCAGATTTCCTTTTAGAAAAAATTCTATCATCAAAAAAATACATATATATAGTAACATCATTGTAAAACCAATACATTACTCGCCCCGCTCATAAAATGATTGGGTATTATTTTAAATAAATTTAAGTGTTGTCGTTTTTGATTTCCGTCGGTCCATTGACGAGAAATATCTCATACACTTTTAATTTTGGGTTGCGGAGAGTAGTGTGTGGCGGTACGAAGCACGGCGTGTTAATAATGTACCACCACTTTACCCCAACCCAAACTTAAAAGTGGAATAGCTTGTCAACGGATTAATGGAAATCAAAAATTTCAGTACTTAAATTTATTTAAAATAATACTCCATCAATTTACGAACTTTTTAATATAGGTTGCCATTTGAAAATCAAAAGTATAGGTGACGAAAAATAACATAAATATAAAATTGTAGAGCAGCTTGTTTCTTAAATGTTCTAGAAAATAAATTCCGGAAAAAGTAAATACTTTCCGAAATAACAAGTGTCTTACGATAGATTTATCACCTTATACATCATCTATTATCAAGTTATGCAACGAACAGTGATTTAGATATATATACACATGGTTCTTTGGGTGAGAATGGTTGAAAGATTAAAAATAAGGTAGTCACCGGCAACCGTTTTTATATATTTTGTGTTATTATTAAGTTTTTATTATTTAAATATTTTTTAAATAATCATTGTTGTCATGGAAACGTACATCATTTAATCATTTTACCATAATATATTATACATTTTGTATATTTTCTTTTTTTTTTATTTTATCGTATCACTAAGGTAACCAATCAACATAAATAATTAGATCGTACCTAAAATACCAATAATCCTGTGTCAACCTCCCTTTAGGGTGTAATTTTGAAATAAAAATAATATTATCACCTTCCTCGATTAATGGACTATCCAACACAATAATAATTTTTGAATTCGAACAAGTAGTTCCTGAGATTAGCGTGTTCAACCAAACAAACAAACAAATTCTTCAGCTTTATAATATTAGTATAAGATTGCTCGTATGTTCAAATCTCTTCTGAATTCTTTTGAACGTAATGCAGTTTCTTTTTATAAGCATTCTAAGATCGTATGTTGACGAAAATCGTAAAAATCACGGCATTTCAAAACATATTCAATCAAACTTCGCTCAAAATCGCATTTCGTTAGCAATGATTTATCGCTACCTTCAGATACAAATTTAATAACTCTGTTTATCCTACATTCCTTCAACTGCCCATTTGTAACAGTGTAACGTTGTCCTTTCATCAGCAGAACTACCTCTTTTTTTAGAAAAAATGTATTTTACGTTTGAAATAACTGATACCACAATATTCGGGTGATTTAACCCACTCCTCTGTGTCGGTCACTAGGTTTCGTGTTTGGGACTAATACATGTTTTACTATATAATATAATGCAATCGCACTTACATCCTTATTATTTTTAATTCGGTAATCATTTACTAACGATAGCATCATATGAATGATTTAATTATTATTTAATAATTATTAGATTCTTTATCGGCAACGTTCGATGTTGACAGTTTTTTTTTTCATTATGTTACAATTTTGAGAGTTTTATTTGAATATCTATAAACTATAAGACGGATTTTAATGGATTAAAATATCTACTCATCTCTATCTATATTATTAGTCTACAAAAAAAACTATATAGAAATCTGTAAAATAAAAAAAAATTGAATTATTAGTGTATAATTTCCCAAATACCCGATTCAATATTTACACAATAAGTAACATACATTTTATTTTTCGACGTTCGACGAATATAGTATCAGATATTGAGACAGATTCTTTGGGAATAATTTCAGAAAAAACGCAGGGTATTAATACCATTGTATATATTTTGTTCTTGTTGATGTATTCGGAACGTGTGTGTAAACGAATGCAATTGTATGCTAACGATTTTGTGTCAGAAAAGGTTACAAGCGTATAGAATAATATACGGAATTCAAAGGTCAATATTCTGTTTTATTAACTTTAGGAGGCGGACAAAACGGAGAAACAACGATGAAAAAACCAAACTATTTAACTGGCGATATAGTGCGCCACAATGAGGAAATTCAATTTAAGTATTTTAGTACGTGACAGTCGAATATGCTGGGTAAACGGCGTAGATAATATGCAAGGTCTTCAAACCGAGCAAAACACAATCCCTTCACTTATTAAAACCGTAATAATTATATTCCTCCACGTACTTACCCTTAACTCTGAAATTGAAAATATGCTCTCAATTAAGACTTTAACAACTACCAATTAAATCAATTCATATATTTATTACGGTATAATTAAACGCAAGTAATCGTTATATTTAACGAATATATAAGTTTTTATTTCTAAAACCTTACCTAAATATTATATGTTATTAATCGTGTTATTTTCCATTATAACTAAATCAACCCAGTAATCACCAAAAATAAAATCTGTGTATCATCATTTAATGTCAGTTTTTTTAATTATTTAGAAAAACTAATGGGAATCTAGAATTAGTTTCAAAGAAATTACTACTGGGTGAAAAATCCACATCTTTTAACGTACAACGTGAAATAGACGGACATACTTTGCACGTGGGTGTAGCCACTGTTGTAGGTGGGTAGAACACAGTCGGGAATTAATGTACATCTGTAAGCAACGATAAACTATTTCTAACAAAAAAACGATTCTAAGCTGATTTCAGTTAATAGTGTTGCTTTGTCAACAATATATAGTATATCATATTATGGTAAAATATGCATTAAATATTTTCTTTAATAATATTTATTTATTATTATACCCATTTTCCTGTTCTCGAGTTTTTTCGGTTATTCTAATATATTGAGAACATTCCTGAGAAAACCGAAAATTGATCTCCCTATAGTATCTCCAGAGTTATATTTCCTTTTAGAAAAAGTGCTACTATTGTAAATCGGAACAAAATTGCCGATGGAAAAGTTGTTGGATAAAAAAAATAAACATCATTGTGAAACCATAAGCTTCTTCACTTCACTCAGAATCTAAAATGTAGAGCATTTTCATTAACTAAACAAGCGTTTTCCAAGATATAAAAAAAAAAAATCAAAATTCGTGGAATATAACTTTTTTTTTGTTTTTATAAAATACTGTTACACTAAAATCTCATTTTAAAAAAGCACAGTAAAAAAAAAAATGAGGAAGAAATAGAATACAAATACGAGGATACGATGCATGTCGATATATTATTATGTATATTGTGGCGTAAAGCAAAATCGCCCTCGATTCGTGGCATCACCAGCGACGCCTAAATGCACACGGCCTATCCACGCGTACTTGCGTCGTGTTATGTACCTCTGGGTGCATCTTATGCACTATATGTTGCGTCATGTGCGACGATTTTCAATTGTCTCGAAAACCCCGAATTTCGATAAAACGTATAGCTATATCCAGAATCTAAAATAACATGTCATATTCTTTAACTCCAGAAAATGGAGTTTTAATTAGGATTATTTAGATATATTTTTATTTAATTTTAAAAAATATTTGAAAATTCATTATAAAGTCTTATAAGACTCATCATAAGTTATCCTTATAACATTATAGATTTTAGTTCACTATTTTGTATTAGCATTTATAAAATGCTAATGAATATAATATAAACTACCTCATTTTACGTACTCTATATTTTTCAAATTAATGTGAATAATAGTGTTTTAGCTTACAAAATACGCACAAAAATTTGATACATAAGTTTTACATAATGGCAAAAAAAAAGTTGAGTGTAATATTATAATTTTTGTATAATCATTCAATTTTAGAGTCAATCCAATTTTTTATGATAAATCGTAGAATTGCACACATTTACGGCTGATTAAGGCTCAGAATCATTTTTCATTAGGAGTTGCATACAAATATGTATTTATTTATTCTGCATATAATTGCATACGATACTAAATTTTAAAATGGTTAGATAAATTTAATTAAAAGTCCCTAACCTAACCAATAATTAAAAATGTATGTAAACACTATCTACATATTATAATAAAATGTTTAGTAAATTAAAGTTTTATTTGAATCCTAGGGTAGTGAGGTAATGTGGCAGAGCTTTCAATTTTATTGCGCAACGATACCTACCGAAAATTCCTTGATATATTCTTTGTTGGGTAACGTTATACCAGCACGGCCACTTAAAATTTTAGTTTGAAAATGATCTGATACAATGTTAATAATATAAAAATTGATAAAATTTGGTGACATTATACAAATAACTTAATCCTTTAGATACCTTAGATATCCTTTAGATACATTACCTTTTGATATACCTACTACTTATTTTGTTATGATAACAATTACCATAATAACAATTAATACTATTTATAATGTAATAATATTATACAAAAGGATTAAAAAGAAACGTATTAGAAGAAAAATGTACATTTTTGTTCACGTACTAACAATTACCTACACGAAATGTTTCATACCACGTAATACGTACTTACTTTAAAAAATATTCTTTGTTAATTAATATATTTTAAGTTCTGATTCATATTTTTAATGGTTGAGGAATTTATTCCCTTTCCAAAAACAAAGCTGTACCTATATTTTAAAGTGGTCAATGCTTGTGGTTTTGTAACTTATAATATGTTGTTCAATCTCTCGGACACGTTAAATTCAATTCAATTACTGTTTTGCATTGTTTTACACTAGATCGCACCACGTAAATAAAATTATATAATAATATACCTACATAATATTGTTCAAATTTTAATTAAATCAAGTTTTTTTTAAAATTTGTATAATATTGCATTATTCTGTGAAAAATAACATTTTATTATTAATTATACCAATAATCGCATTTCATTAATCACAGCTAGTGTTAAACATTGGCAGTTACAAATAGTGGTGTATTTGCAGGGGTGGGGAGGGGGTCTGTTTTAATCCGAAAACCAAAAATAAGGGGGTGGGTGCGGCCACTCTTGTAGGTGGACAGTTGGGAAGGGAGGACACATATTACATTTATTTGATTTATACCTATACACCATTACTAACGAAGTTCGGTTATACCTTATACATTGAATGGCGGGCATCGTTTCTGCCGAAAATTTGATTTTCATTTCCGCCAGCGGCGTAAATTCCTAGGAGCAGGGAGGGCAGTTGCCCCCCCCCACTAAAATTGTTTGGTGGTACGCGCGCGAAGTTTGTACGTATCTTGATCAACTTATTTTGTAGTCCTCGTAATCGTAGCCGTTCACCGGACATTTCTAATAATAACAAATACTGATTACGTTTCTGTTATATTGTACGTCTGTAAATCTAATACGTTATTGCCCATTACACATCCGTCAGTCAGCAGCCCAGCAACGGTTTGGAAAAACCGTTTGTAAATTGCTCCCGAATTCTATTATAATGTTACACGTCGGCAGCGTACGCGCAGACGCGCAGTACATTTCTATTATGAATAATAATGTTTTTGTAATTTGTAATTTTGTAAACAAAGTATATGTATGCAGTCAAATTCGCGTATAACGGTGCCGTATATAACGATATCCGGGTAAAACGATTCCAATCAATGTATTTGGTTGGTTTTATATGTCATGTATAATACTTTTATTCGTATACAACGGTATCGGTTATAACGATAATCCGGATATAGCGATGTTGTTTTAAAACGAAAATTGGTTTTTATAAACACCCATAGCGATTAATAATGTGCATGTACGTTGTACATTGTGTAGTAAATTTGATTTCGTCCAAATCGATAATTCTTAATCTTATCTGTAACAGATAACGTGTCTAGTACGACCGTATTGTATACAGAATACCTACGTTTCTTAGTCGTTTAGTTGCCGTTTTGATTGCTATCCGTTCAGACACGATCCGAATAAGTTAAAAATGTCAAATAAAAGAANTCAAAGACACAATATCGTTTTTGGAAAAATAAGTGGAGAATCGTCAAGCGTTCTTGTTGGTGTTTCGGAAAACTGACTGGAACACGTTTGACCTAATTTGAGCAAAAGTTTTTCAGATTGTCACATTTATAACGCTGATGAAATTGGATTGTCTTATCGTCTAACACCGTCTCAAACATTACGTTTTAAAGGGGAAACATGCAGTGGTGGTAAATTCTACCACTACAATAAGAAACTGTTTCCACCACGCTGGATTCAAGGCTTCGGTAAACGACGAAACAGAAATAGTAAATGAAAATAATTTGGACACAGAGTGCTTTTCTGAAGAAAACATACAAAGTTTTGCGGAGGTTGACGATGCTCTTTTGACCAACGAAGAACCTAATGAAGAAGAAATTGTCAAGTCTATTTTGAATGAAAAAAATAATGATGAAAGTGAACAAGGTGGCGAAGAAAGCGAAGAAATGGTATTTAAAGTACCATCTATTTCGGAAATGTATTTTTANGATAATTGTCTGGCTCATCCTCCTGTTCAAACTGAATTTATAAAGTTGGTTTTTCTCCCTCCAACACGATCTCTGTGCTACATTGTCAAGTCTATTTTGAATGAAAAAAATAATGATGAAAGTGAACAAGGTGAAGAAGAGAGCGAATAAATAGTATTCAAAGTACCATCTATTTCGGAAATGTATTTTTATATTGATCGGGTGCGTACTTTTGTTTCGGTAAACAGTGACATAAATACGCCAGAAGTATCAATGGCATTAAATAATATTTCTAATTTTGTTAAAAAATCATATTCTAATTATAGACAAACCACTATTAAAGATTATTTTTCAAACAAGTTCGGTTATAACGATCAGATTCCCTAGGTCCCTAGAAGATCGTCATAAGCGAATTTGACTGTATATATATATATACTTTGAATAATGTGCTTATCTCTTATTTTATTTCATGTTTGTACAATATTTTACGTTTCAACTGTTTGATTTTTCACCGTATACCGACCGGTCGTACGACAAAAAACAATAATTACATAGTTAAATATCTGCCAAATAACATAGTGTTGTCTCGTGTATTTTAAACGATTATGACGATTTTTTTTTTTGTGATTTAATTGTAAAATACCGAGTTCAGAACGATGCGGGTGTGTTAAACTGCGTGCAGGATTCGGTGATACCAAGGCCCTCCGCACCACGAGGCGGTTCACGCGCGACGCGATTTTTGCCACGCGCGCTATCCTAGCAAAGCGATTGGGGGGGACCCACTAACGACGCGAGCGACGGACGGCACGTGCGACCGGCAGTGCTGATCGCTTGGCAGTCGCGTCGCGCGGACCACGCGTAATTACATTTTTATTTTCGTTATATTATATTATTTATTTATACGTAATTTTAACTATGTGGAGGCATTCAACATTAAATTTGTCGGTGAAATTGAAAAACATCCTGAACTCCATCATTTTTCCGAAATTTCCTTCGAAGATTCTTTTCTTGTTTTTTTCCACAAACCAACGTTTTGTACAAATACGTACGTATCAATCGCTCCTTCGTCGCTAGACGAACTTGACATTTTAAAAAAAAAGTAACCAAATAACTGCGCAAACGTCAGTAAACGACTGATAATAACCGAATAATACATAAACAACGATAATAATAATCGCACAGATCGCTCGTATCGCATGTATCGCATAAATCGCGCAAGAATCGTGTCGCGTTACAATCGCCTCGTGTGCGGATGGCCTAATTGGACGCGGCATCTAAATTCACGTAAAAAACGAAAACCAAGCTTGAACCATGAACAATAGTATTGTCAAACTTTTCAAGGCTTCACGAATAGCAGGTGTCCACTTATTAATTTATCGATTTATTATAATTTGAACACCTAACCTTTCATGTGACCAAAAGAGGATTCCCAGCTATCCCGTGTGCGCGTACGTCATAAGAGTAAAATAGAGGAGCCGTTCCGTATATTACATGCGTATTTTATTGAAGCAAAGAGTGACGAATTTTGACAGTTTGTCGATGTTTTGACGATTGTCGAGTTTTTTTAATTTTTTCCTCGCGCTGCTCGTTAGTATCAAAACATTGAGGTCTACTAATATTTTGTGAAGTTGATGGTCCAGGATTTTGATCGTCATCATCACGAGGCCTTTTATTTATGAGCCATTTGATTCGTTGTTGAGTTTTATTATAAATTACGTTGTAATATTGTTACGATATTATATTTAAGTACTGCACTCGCCGTAAACGGAGTCGACGGGCCCGAACAATCGTTTGAACCGGATTGAGTATCCGCATAACAACACAGAACAGCACGCAACGCAATACCGTGAGCGAGCCGGTAACAACGGGCAATACCTACTGCTGTAGTGGTACAGCTCGTGCCGATATTTCGCCGCCGCGGTAGAAACTGCGTTGGTTCGGGCATTCCCGTATCCGGGGATAACCCGTGTTGTGTTGACACGTACGCGTCTTATTTTCATTGGTGCGCGTCCGTACACGCGTACCAGTTGACCGCTAATAAAATCGTTTAATCGCGGCGAGCAAATAACGCGACACGCGCGCGTGTCGTTCGCGGTAACGACGCAAGATTTTATATCCGCACACTACCGTACACCACTGTCTCCTACTCGTACTTGGTACGACGATAGCCGCGCTTACTCAACCAATGGCGAATGAAACGGTTAGATGCGCCATACGGTATCGTTTTAATTTCAAATCCACAAATGTTACCTTGGATTTTAGAATTTTTTTTCTCTATTTTAATTTAAACGTTTGTTGGCCAGACTTGTATCCCTTGAACAATTTCGAGTACCCTCGAGGGGTGCGCGTACCACAGTTTGAGAAACACTGACTCAGCCAATTCTTTTTTCATGTACGATAATACATCTATTTTATATTACCAAAAAGGTTACACGGCAAACATTTGTCATTTGCATCGGAACGACCTCTATATCTTACTAGATGGCATATGTGCATATTCAAATGATGCTCCGTCCATCATCTATGATCTATTTATATTATCACAATTTACAATATAATAATATGATTATCAGTAAACATTAGTCACCAAACGTCAAAAAGTTGACTCGAGTTCAACCATAGACCTTATACTAATAGACACGAAACTCGTATGACTACAGTATTGCGAGCTGCATGGAAACGTATCGCAGTGATGTTGCCCGTCTTGACACCGGGCGAACTAATTTTACAATAATACGCTAATGCAAATTATCGTTCGCTTACTGTACACACGGCACATAATCAATGGTTTTACAGTGAATAATTGTATATAATTTGTATCAATTGTAATTTGTATTTTGTGCTAATAAATGGGTCGTAGGTACTCGTAATATTATATCGGGCATCGGGCAGTTAAGTATACTTGTTATTTGAATATTCTGAATATAGGTAATGGCTTATTTTTATTGTACTTTTATTAGGTGCACGATAATTTACAGTAAATCAGCCAATGAAAAGCGCTCTCTATCTTTTCACGCCCAGCGTATAATCATTTCGTATCTATTAGTATAAGGTCAATGAGTTAAACTCTGTGGTATCCTAATAACAGTATGATGTATAGGAATACTACAACCAATCACAGCGCATTCTATACATATCCATACAAGGGATACTTGGGAATCCGTCTTAATGGTCAATATTTTAGACCTGAATGGTTTATTAAAACAATGCCAGATGAAACATCAGTGAAGCTAGAATAGCTGTCATATTCATTAAGTAAAGACAAAATTTATTGTGTACTAAGTATAATTGCTAGATAAAAAATTTCCTGTTAACAAATGGTTTCAATTCATAGGAAAAAGCCAATTATTGAAATTAGCGCACGAAAAACAGCTACTGGATACTCAGTAAATAGTGAAATAGTGAACACCGACCCCCTTTATTTGGTACTCTATTAGTTATTACTAGTGTATGATAAGTAATTATTAATTCGTTTTTTTTTTAAGAGCCTATTAGGAAAAAGGTGTTCTGGTAAAAAATAATTAAAACATATCTGAAAAAAGGAAGACACAGTTCCAAACTGCACTTCTGCATCCAAAATTTTCTCAGACTAAGATCCTTAGGAAATCTATACAGAATTATGTTGCTCACATTTTTCAATGAATAAATAATTATTAAAATATCTACTAACGAATGAAAATAAACTGCAAAACCTACTTCTTCTCTCATGAAACATATTACATATTTACGACCCATTATGTATAGATTTCTATTTTAAATATTATAAATGAAAATGTTGTATTTGAATTAATAATATTGAAGTATTCAATTTACATTTATTTCAAATAGTTAAAATTAATGCACATTACAATATTATTTTATCCCAAAAATAATGCGTACTCTATATTCTCCTGTTTTTAGTGTTCATGTGTGTGCTGTGTAGTGTTCCTATGGTTCATAAGACGCAACCTGTCGTACGTGGTATAAGGTATGAGGTACGAGGTACACAATGTTCCATTTACGTCTTTAGGGTTAAGTAGTAAGCCTAAGTAGTAAACCTAGTAGCCTAAGTTAGTATTCCCGGAGATAAGAATTTGAAGATAACAATATCCAAATCAGTAATATTAACTTAGAAACCTAAATTCTCGCCAAATTTTACAATTGTAATAACAACCATAGAATGATGTGTATTTTATTTATTTTCAAATTCAAATATTATTTTTATAGTAGTTGGTCGTTCAAAAACTATGTTTTTATGTATTATCATATTTTAATTATCATTGGCTCTAGTTTAATTTTCGTAATTTGCATTTAAAATATCAAATGTAAACAAGTCAAAGCCATTTTATCGGTTTCTCAAGGGTAAAATGAATATTGTCTAGTTTAAGAATGCAAATGTTACAACACTAAACCGAATTTATGTCTGTGATAATCAACTTAATGACATGTGGATTTTCGCGGGAAGTTTAATCCAGAAAGTTAAAATCAAAATACCTACATAATACATAATTTAGTTCATGCTTGTACATTTGATAATTCTACATTGCCGTTCGAAAAATTTGGAATTTGTTAAGGTTGGCTTTATCTTGCATAATTTATTTTTTTACATTTTTTCTTCCGTGATTTCAGGAAAACTGTTCCCATCCAATTATGAAAACTACTTATGTAACTAATATAAAACTAATAACTTATGTAAAACTACTAAGATATGAAAAAAAGCCCGGTTTTCACTGGTTATACATTAAAAGAAAAAAAATTGATAATTTACTATTTTTTGATTAGAGCAATATTTCTTGTTGAAAACATAAGTTGCAAAAATTAAAATCAATGAAATCGGTAACGCCGCGGTGCATCGTAAATATTTGTTATTTTACCTACAATTTTCTTTTCTGTTTTTTCCAATTATTTTTAAACCCTTTGAAAAATTATGATCTTAATTTACCAACTATAGATTCAAATGTACCAAACAAATTCTCTCGGAAATTTTCTATTGGAGCCAGTTTTCTGGTATAAAATTTATTTACAGACATAAAACACAAAAACATGAAAAAGTAAAACCAGTATATTATAAAAAGTATAGTGCAAGTACCTGATCGTAATAGAAGAATTACTGTATATATAGTATTCATTAATTTTGTATAGAATTAATTAATTTATATACCTAACACTTAAACTAACAATATAATATTTTATTAAATATGTGTATAAATCAGAGATTCTCATACTTTTTATTTCGCATACCACTTATATGTATCTGTTATGTACCACGTAAAACTTAAAATTGAACAATTCATAATGATTCTACATTTATTTCAAAATGAAACGAGTATAAGACAGTAAAAAATACTTCAATATAATATTAATATAAAATATAGTATTAGATCCATTTAAAAACATTTGTACGAATATTGATTAATTTATTTTCTGTACTGTTACCATGCGGCCTTCTGTTTATACTATAAATAAATTACTGGGTTTACGTATTATAGTTTTTCTAGTTAAAATTAGTTAAAACTACAATAATTATTGTATGATAATATTAAAAATAATAATAGGTATTGATTATTTAAATGATTTTTAATATTAATAAAACACATAATTATAATAATGTAGGTACCTATGAAAAATCGAATAACTATTATATTATACATTAAACTAAATCCGCGTTAATATAATTCATAAATAATTGGTAAATGATTAAATTGTTTATTAGAATTAGTGTTATGAATATTTTGATTGGATTGAATTTCGCAAATCATTTTTATTAGCACGGTGTAAACATTTCGTTAGAATATTTACTGCAGTTCGTTTTAATCTGACAATGATGTATAAGGAAAGCTGAAAAATAATAAATTATTTAAGAATATATCCACATTAATAATAAGAGTACGTATGTTTTAAAAACTAAAAAATTTAACAAAATAAAAATAAGAATACATAAAGTCAAAACTTTTTTCAAACAGAACTCTTGATTTTTTTTTTTTTAGATAAAATTCATATTCGAAAATTTAATTTACCATCAACAAAAAAAAAAAAGAATTAGTTTTGATTATTAAAAATATTGTTGAACATGAATATTGATATTAAATAGTGTTTATTTTTGTAAATTAGTTGTTCGCTGTTGTAAATTTATAAAAATAACCCGGAATTAGCCGAATATCATTGGAATATTCCTTCAGTTTTATAGAAATATTGCAATCAATTTTAATGCTTTTTAGTACAATAACATCCGAGCTCTAATAGATTGAGGATATTTAGTTTTATTTTAGTATTCTTTAGTGCAAGCATTGATATAGATTTAGATTGTATTCAATAAGAAAAAGAATAAAATTCTGATCGCTGAAAAAATACTGAAAAACATTATGATTATATTTTCAAATTTTTTCTCTTAGTTAAGCAATTGGTACATTACATCACGTATCATCTATAATATAATATAAGTCAGTATACTAGTATATCAAACATGCATAAGGTAATGAAAAGTGTATATTTTTACCTGTTAGTATATTGTATATGATACATAGAGGAGTTTTAGATCATAGAAATCCTGATAAAGGCTTTGCATATGTATATTCAGGATATAAAGTAACATATTCATATACATCGCTCTAAAATACACATACATACCATTATTAAAATTCCATTTGGATAATCGTAAAAATGGGTATAGTAGTTAGGTACACAGTATATAAAGAAGAACATTAAAAAAAAATAATCTTACCTTATTAGAGTCAGAATTATAATTTTTGACTAGATTGTGGTTTTTATATACAGTGTCACTATGCATTTCATAATTTGTATTTTTATTTTCATTAGTGTGTTCATTACTCGAGGTACTATAATCTTCATTTTTGGTGCTACGAAAGGATTCCTTTTCATTGTAACTTTTTTTTTTAGTTTTTTTATTATGATTATTTAAAATTGCTTTATTATGTTTTCCTTTGTTTATATTTCTGGTTGTCTTCATTGTTCTACATTTGTTTTGTTTTGATTTAACTGCTTTTGGAAGTTTGTTAATTTCATTTTTATGAGTTCTATTATCATCGCTACGATTTCTAATCTTCTCTAATGGTTTATTTAATTTCATATAAGGCTGTAAATTATTGTGTTTTATTGAATTTCCAGGAGCCAATAACTCTTCAACATCGTTCAGATCATCGGATTTTTTACTCTCAATTATATTATTATTCAATTCGTTTCCGAATATTTTTTTATTATCTAATTTAGAAATTTTTTTGTCAATATCATCAACTTTGTCTAATAGCTGATTTGCTATTTTTTCAATATAATCATGTGTCAGTCCACTCTTAATATTAGTGTTTAGTTGACTTTCCTTTATATTTTCATTTTGATTTTTTGTAATTATATCATTATTATTATCATTTTCGTTATTACTAAGAATCGTACTATTTAAATTGTTAGTAGTACGCGTATTTCTTCTTAATATAATATTACTATTATTAAACTTTTCTTCTTTAACAGTATTGTCATTAGTTGAGGAAGTCGTTGGGTCCCATAGATTATTGATTAAATTGTCTTCATTTTTGGTTTTAAATTTAGGATGTAAATGACCATAGGATTTTTTATCATTTGTTGTGATACATTCTGATAACACAGGTATCATATCTTTGGAAGCAACATCATAGGATGTATACAAATTAGAACTCGTTTTATTGTCATCGGATTTGTTAATTTTATTTGATTTCGCATTGTCATTAGGGTTTTCAGAATTACTAGAGAATAAACTAGGTTCTATAATAGGTGCAGTTTTAATTTTATCACATGTGTCATAATGAAATTTAGACAAATTGTTATTAGGAAAATTCTCATCCGGAAAAATGCCACTATTTAAAGTTGATGGATAATGTAAATAATCAACAATACTACTTTTCCCAACGCCGGACACTAAATGTTTTGGAATATTACAGATAGACAACGAAGATTTATCTTGATTCATTTTTTGGTTGACTGTAGTCACAGGCTTTGTCTTTTGGATAACTTCATTATTCTCTGGTAAACAATCGGAAGGGAATATTTCTATTTCATTTATTTCATCTGGATTAGCAACATATTTGGGAGACAATTTATGTTTATTCGGCTTCGTTGTTTGTTTCGAAACAACCAATTTCTGATTTTCAGCAGCATTGGGTTCTTTCGGGCCTTTTGGCGATTCTTTTTTACTATCAATAGAACTTATTTTGGCCATTTCAGGAATTTCAATACCCTTACCCTTTGTAGATGGCTTTTCTTTTGTTTTAGATTTATTTGTTGGATTTATGGGCGCCGACTGCATTAATTTGTTTACGATGTTTTTTTGATAATCAGCGGCTATATGTTCTTTCGGGATGTTTGGCGATTCTTTTTTTCCATCAATAGAACTTATTTTGGCCATTTCAGGAATTTCAATACCCTGATCCTTTCTAGATGGATTCTCTTTTGTTTCAGATTTATTTGTTGGATTTATGGGCGCCGACTGTATTTCTTTGTTTACGATGTTTTTTTGATAATTAGCAGCAATGGGTTTTTTCGGGATTTTTGGCGTTTCATTTTTACTGTCATTAGAAACTTTATTGGGATTCTCAGGAATTTCCTTAACAATATCTGTTTTAGATGGTTTTTCTTTTATTTCAGATTTAACAGTAGGAATAAAGGGTTCCGACAGCATATTTATACTCAAAATTCCAGCATTTTTCATTGGAGTTTCAGATTTTTTATTAGCGTTTTTGTCAGTAATTGGTTCGTCCTTAATATCGAGATTACTTTTGTCTTTTTTATGTCTTACATTATGGTCGAACGTGTCTTCAGGAGTGCTTGTTTCACTATCTTCCGAAATATCATTCGACGATACATCGGGAGATAATTTTATATTATTCAGCCTCGTTGTTTGTTTTGAATTGATCTTTTTATGATTTTCAGTAGTTATGGGAACTTTTTTGACAATATCAGGAATTTTGAAATCAATGTCCTTTGTAGATGATCTCTCTATTATATCAGATTTAATTGTTGGATTTATGGGCGCCGACTGCATTTCTTTGTTAACGAGGTTTTTTTGATATTCAGCAGGAATGGGTTCTTTCGGGCCTTTTGGCGTTTCATTTTTACTGTCATTAGAAACTTTATTGGGATTCTCAGGAATTTCCTTACCAATATCTTTTTTAGACGGTTTCTCTTTTGTTTCCGTTTGAATTTTTGGATTTGTGGGTCCTGAGCTCTTGTCTTTATTTGTGAATCCCAAAATTTTTTCTGGCATACCTANAGCCTCGTTGTTTGTTTTGAATTGATCTTTTTATGATTTTCAGTAGTTATAGGTTCTTTTTGGACTTTTATCGTTTCGTTTTTATTTTCATTAGGAACTTTTTTGACAATATCAGGAATTTTCATATCAATGTCCTTTGTAGATGATCTCTCTATTATATCAGATTTAATTGTTGGATTCAAGGTTTCTAAGCGCATATTTTTATTTACGATTCCCATAGTTTTCTCAGGCGTACCAATTTTGTCGGTAGGTCTTTTGTCGGCAATTTGTGAAATTTTAACTTCAGGATTACCCATCGGATCTATGATATTAGTATTCTTTGTATTATTATTTTTATTATCTTTTTTATGAACTACAACGGGGTCGATCGTGTCTTCTGGAGTGCTTATTTCACTGTTTTCCGAAATATCCCCTTTCGTTACATTGGGAAACAATTTTTGTTTATTCGGCTTCGTTGTTTGATTCGAAACGACCAATTTCTGATTTTCAGCAGCATTGGGTTCTTTCGGGCCTTTTGGCGATTCTTTTTTACTATCAATAGAACTTATTTTGGCCATTTCAGGAATTTCAGTACCCTTATCCTTTATAGATGGATTATCTTTTGTTTCAGATTTATTTGTTGGATTTATGGGCGCCGACTGCATTACTTTGTTTAAGATGTTTTTTTGATATTCAGCAGCAATGGGTTTTTTCGGGACGTTTGGCGATTCTTTTTTTCTATCAATAGAACTTATTTTGGCCATTTCAGGAATTTCAATAGCCTTATCCTTTCTAAATGGCTTTTCTTTTGTTTCAGATTTATTTGTTGGATTTATGGGCGCCGACTGCATTACTCCGTTTACGATGTTTTTTTGATATTCAGCAGCAATGGGTTTTTTCGGTAATTTTGGCGTTTCATTTTTACTGTCATTAGAAACTTTATTGGGATTCTCAGGAATTTCCTTAACAATATCTTTTTTAGATGGTTTTTCTTTTATTTCAGATTTAACAGTAGGAATAAAGGGTTCCGACAGCATATTTATACTCAAAATTCCAGCATTTTTCATTGGAGTTTCAGATTTTTTATTAGCGTTTTTGTCAGTATCAGATTTTTTATTAGCGTTTTTGTCAGTAATCAAAATTCCAGCATTTTTCATTGGAGTTTCAGATTTTTTATTAGCGTTTTTGTCAGTAATTGGTTCGTCCTTAATATCGAGATTACTTTTTGGAACTGTCTTCTTATTTATCTGTTCTTTATTATGTTTATTGTCTTTTTTATGTCTTACATTATGGTCGAACGTGTCTTCAGGAGTGCTTGTTTCACTATCTTCCGAAATATCATTCGACGATACATCGGGAGATAATTTTATATTATTCAGCCTCGTTGTTTGTTTTGAATTGATCTTTTTATGATTTTCAGTAGTTATAGGTTCTTTTTGAACTTTTATCGTTTCGTTTTTATTTTCATTAGGAACTTTTTTGACAATATCAGGAATTTTCATATCAATGTCCTTTGTAGATG